TTTTTTTTTTTTTTTTTTTTTTTTTTTTTTTTTTTTTTTTTTTTGTGGTGGCCGTAGTAGCTCAGAACATTCCTGTAGCATTAATGTTGAAAATATACTCAGCTTTCATTTACTTACAAGGTTAACCTGCTTCATATTGGCTGTGTTGGAGCAGCAAAGCAGAACAGTTTATTTTACTTAAATTTCCTACCAGTTTTATTTCTGCTTCTCATCTCAAGCCCCACACCAACCCCACCCATCCACAGCCACGCAGGGCCCCTGCAGCCAAAAGGTGTTGGGGATCAAACCTATCTGTTCATGAAAACCACCTGTTTATTAAAATAAATACTAAGCTTCTGTATAAATCCACCTGAAATATGACCTCCAAAGAATTACTGTCAAATGGTTAACAGAGATAACTGGGCAGACAAGCACAAAATAACCACAAAGAATCCTCAGAATGGCAGTTGGGATGTTCATCACCCGTAGTCAAAATTTGTGATCCCCTCAGTCACGTGCTTGTTTGTTCCACAAAAGGTGGTTTGCCTTTATTTCATATCCTTTTTTTCCTCCCACAGCTGAAAGCCAATTTATTATCCATAGTCTGTATGCTTGCATTCATTTTGTTGCTGTATGAAGCCAAACTACACTGCACTAGCACACAGCAGTTTATGGCAAAGCAAAGATGGCTTTCTATAGCATGAAGGCAAATACATGCATTAGTTTTAAGTGTTCTGCCTTTGGAGGTCATTTGCTGTTCTCATTCCAATATTGTGAAAGAAAAATAAGTCTTGTACAGAATTTTGCTTATGGGTAAACCACCTCATCCCTCTCTTTTACACAGTTTCTGGACCTATCATGCCACAAAAGCTTTTCACAATTCAGCATTCAGCTAAAAAGGAAAAGAAATTGCAATCCCACAGATAAACAGATACTTTCATGACTCCAAACCCTCCTTTCCCAGACTCCAGGTGATCAGCTTGTAGAAAAGAATAGTAGGTAATCTTTGCCATCTTCCTGGGTTTGAAAAGGTTTCTTTGCAACTTTGTGCCTTTCTCTCTTCCCTCAGAAAACCCTTTTCATTATCCATGTCCAGACTCTCTGTTTCTGTGAGAGAATCCTTTCACCATTTTTTTAAAGACCCCTTAGTCTAAACATTAGCAGAAATACTATGTTCAGACTCAGGTAAGCCTCTCTAAATTGCAAGAGCAGATTGTGCAGAAGGGTAAGGGCTGAGGCTGCACAACCCGCTCAGAAGGTGTGCCAGGCGCTCTCACCCCCTTCTCGTTCTCCAGGGGGAGAACAGGAACCCAGGGGTAAAACCTGCTTCTCCCCTGGCCTCTTCCCTCACAGAGGAAGAAATGAAGCTGCAATGGTGGAAAAATTTGGAAAAAAACATTGCTTCCTCCTTTGAAAGTTATGGAGCTCAGTAGAAAAAAATCCCAATTGTGACAGCTGCAGCCAGTTCCCTTTTCCCCTCAGTCACCGGCTGCTCTATTACTAAGTGTTAGGGAGCCTAAAAAAAGCATTTCATGGCAAGGACCAAGTTTATTCATTCTCAGCTCACCCACTTGCTTTCATTTTAGGTTACTTGGCTTTTTGACTACAACTCAGTCTGATTCATCTGGGATGCCCATTTGAAAATAGATGGATGAGGAAAAACCACGACATGCACTTGCTCCAGGAAGCCAGAAAGAGAGGAAACATGCTGCACTTGCAGTCTTCATGCTCCCCACAAGCCCAACATCAGCCAGGAAGCTCATTTCTCCGTCTCTGGCTCTGTCAGGTTTCATGAGCATATGGCGCAATTCAGAGACTTACAGGAGATTACAGCTCAGATCTGACCTACACTCTATAAGCAAAGAATTTTCACAGCAGGTAATACTTGTTGCCCTGTCATTGTTTGTATCTGCCCATATGCAGCACCCACCTCCTTACACCTACCAGCCTCCTGCATCCCACTGCACTCACCTACTGCCACACCAGAACAGAAACAAAACACACCAAACAGCCCTACTGCCCCTCCACCTGCTCTTTTATTGCCCTGCTTCCTCCTGCAGGTGGGTGGGCTGCCTGGAAACACAAGGCAGCTGTGATGGATCAGGGAAATTATGAAGGGGGCTGTGGAAACCACTGAAGAAGAGGGGAAAAGAAAACACGTGTGGCTTTGGCTTTTGCTTCATTTTCTAGGAAAGGCTGGTGCAAGTCAGAGTTGGCACTTCCGCATGCCTGATGACTCCTGGCTTGAAGCCTGTTGCTCCTGGCGCCTGGGTTACAAGTTCAGGCTGGTTGCAGTCTTGGCCTGATCTCTTGTGCCCTTTGAGGAACAAGTTCAACTCTTGAAGCTCACAGCAGTGTGCTGGGCTGCTCCATGGGTTTTCTGCAGCCCAGCTCCTAGCTGAGGTCTCATTTGGCCCATTAGCAACACTTCCCAGGCCACCAGCCCTACAAAATGCTGCCCCGTTTCAGACAATTCCCCCACCCGCTCGCAATCTTAAAATATTGAAAGAAAAGGAATAAACGTGATGCTCAAACCTCGAGAAAATACAGAGAACAAGTTTCATTAAGTGGATCCACACAGTCAGCCTGAATCTCAAATAAATACTTTACAGCTTTTTTTTTCCTACAAAACGGAAGTTATAGTGTAACAAAATAAATAAATATCCATTATAAATTGTCCTTCTTTTTTGTGTTACTCTTGGAGAGAGTCACAGCAGGTTTGCTTGGAAGCTTGAGGTGCCGTTGTAAGAGTTTCCCTCTTGTGTGTGTAGCGTGGGCAGTTTCTCAGGTGTTCAGCGGTGCACTGGGGCTGGGGGACCCCACAGGAGCCCACCTGCCTGCAGCTCCGTACTGCCCGCACTTCTTGGCCTTGCTACAGGCAGGAAGAACCTGATGGAAGAGAGGTTGGTTTTGTTTATTTCTTAAAAATACGTGGATGTTGTAAGTGAGAGGGTACAGATCCTGGCTGTATGTATTGTCAAAGGGGTCCTTGCATCTCTCTGTGTGAGGGGAGCCTCAAGTTTTCCCCTTGCAATCCCACCAGCAGTCTTCAGCTTGGACCCACGGGCATAGCGCCTGTGGAAGACATGTATTGCATTTCCTCCATTGCTTCTTTTTGTCCAAAATGCTCATCAAAAGTCAGGCTGTACACGCTAGTCATATCCTGCAAGAAGGATGAGGAACCTTCTCAAAACTGCGCTGTGATTTTCTGAAACGGTGCCACCTCACTCAGTGTATCCCCACCTCAAGCTTGCATCCTTCATCATCAGGATGGCCTCTGTGAACAACCAGCAGTGCCTCAGCCCCTACCACAGCATGGTACCCTGGGCTTTCCTCACAGAGGCACAGGTTTCCTCTAAGACCCCATTTTGTTTGAGACACATCCTCAAAGCTGCTGCCTTTGTGAGCTGCACTGGGCGTGCTGAGGGAGGTTGTTTTAGGAGCTGCAGAAGAATGGTGCAAGGGTCTGGCCACTGCTTGCACAACTATTTAGTGCATAAATATAGTGGTGGAGTGACTCTTGTGCCACAGCATGCATTGTCATTGGCACAGTGAATATTTTCTAGCTGCTAGTGCTGTCAGGTGCATGTGGCCTGGCTGTGCAGAATCAGGTTTCCCCTTCCCAGCGTGCTGCTTCCCAAATCCCTGTGTCTCTCTCCAGCCCAGGAGCAGCTCGGGCTGGGCAGTGTGTAGGTAGCCCTGGCATGGCTGGGCAGAGCTGGGTCGTGGTACTGAGCCCTGTGGCCGGTGGGGTTGAGCCCTGCAGCACTCTGGGGAAAGGCAGACCTACCCAGCATGGCCAGGCTGGGTTTCTCTCCAGGTCACGTCGGTGCCTGAGGCAGTGGCAGAGGAGACAGGTGAGAAGGAGGAGGGCAGTCAGGGGGACCAGTACTCCCACTGCAATGGCGATAGCGGGTGCCACGGTGCTGTCCAGACCTGTGGGGAAGGCAGCAGGTACTCAGTTTGTGCATGAAGTAAAAGAACAACCCAAAACCCATTTCAAACATCCCTTGGCCATTCCCTGGGGTGAGATGGGGTGGATGGGGGCACTGGGAGTGCATGCCAGCATAACATACACACGCAGCAGTGCTAGCAGACCTGTGCTTGGGGTCTGATGTCATGGTTAGGTGTAAGAAACCCAGCCCTCCAAGCTACCCAACACTGGCACGTCTTGTTGGTGCATCAGGCTATGTGACAGGGAAACCTATCACAGAGGAAGGGAGGCTGGGGCACATCATGGCATATGGGGGTACCTAGGGAGCAGTAAGAAATGGTATGCCATAGCCCAGGGCATTCGAATACTCTCAGGCACCTCCTCCATCCCTTCCAAGCCCAGCCCCAGGCTGCTGTTCAGGATGCCTTCCCCACCTGCCCCGAACCCTCTGAGGAGTTTTGTGATCTACCCCAGGGGGTTTTTCTCCACCCCTCCTCAAAGCAGGAGCAGAGTTACGTACTGACCCTGCTGCAGGCTGTCCGTGGGCAGGACCAGAGTCACGTTTAGGGAAGGGTGCTGGATCATGCAGGCGATGGGGTACTCATGGAGGATTTTGGAGTGGGTGTGGGTGAAATTGCTGATGACAGTCACGGTCTGGTTGCTGAACTTGATATGGTATTCCCTTGGCTTCTGCTGCAGGATGCTGGGAAGGTGCCAGGTTATTTTTGGAGCTGGTTTCCCAGTTGCTGAGCAGCTTATCCCCACCACTTTCTCAGAGTCCTCAGTTTTGTCTGGACTGGGTATATGTTTAGCTTCCACTTTGGGGTCCGAGATGGCTGTAAACGACAAAGGGACAAAATCCATTAGTTTCTGCCCACATTTGAGCAAAGAACATCTGTATCTAGAATTATCTTGGAGGATGAGCTTGATGTCTCATCTTCCTTCCCCCTTCCCAAAGCCCCAGCAGTGGCAAATAAACATGAAAGTGATCAGGCAGCAATCTAGAAGTGAAGAGCTAGACAAAAATAAAGGGCAAGGGGTAGAAACATCTTTGTTTCAGTTCTGTTATTGACAGCTGCACCGCAGCATCCCAGCTGAGAAGTGGTGATTATAGATGGGTTAAAATCAGTAAGTAGTGAAACCATGAAGCTATATGTCTTCCTCTCTCTGGAAGAGCTGATATACTTGAATGAGTTAAAATTCATGTTCTTTTCCCTTAAACTTACCTGCAGGATTAGCTTTACTGCTGTTTGAGGTGTGTGTAGAGTTGCAGATCACAGGACTAAATGCATTTTTTTATGCAAGACAGTAACAGTGATTTTGTATGTGGTTACACCACAGGATTTCACCTGTGGAGGGTTTGAGTTTGTATGACTTTCTTGCCTCTAAGTGCTGAGTTTTGAGTGCATCATGGTATCCCTCAAAACCTTCACCAAAAAATCACTTATTCTGAACTATTTCTTGCCCTAGAAGATTTGCAGATGCTGTCCCAATCTTAGTCAGTGAGCAGGATGAACTACAGGCATCACTCATGCTTATTCACTCACATGAAGCCTGCTTGTTGATTCCTGTTTATAGAAACTTCAATTGCAAGGAACAGAGAAAGGAGGGGAGTTCAGGAATCTTTTTTCAACCTGGATAGAACTCCAGGTGAGATCTGAACACATAAGAACACACCTGTACCATGTGGAAAGTCACCTATTTATCCTTGGCCATAAAATCATATCATAATTTAGGTCAGAAAAGACCTCTGGAGGTCATCTAGTTCAAGCCTCTACTCTGATTAGGTCAGTTTGCTCAGGCCAAGGTCTCTAAAGGCATCTAGCTCTATTTGGGAGTGCAGTCCATGGGTTTCTGTATGGCAGCTCACCAGCCTGCCTTCTACTTCAGTGCGTGTGCTGATGGAATAGGGGTTGGAACTGCACTCTACTTCTAGGTCCCTGATTCTGAGAATATTACTTTTTTAAACCATTTAAGTGCAGTTGCAGTTATAGTTTCAGTCAAGTCTGAGTTGCTATGAATGTTCTCTGATTAAGAAAGTATCCATGATTATGTTTAATAGAACTCCATATGTATATTACTATTTACATAACAAAAATAACAATGGTTAGTGCAATATTTATGCTGAAATTAATTTTTCCCAACACTAGCAAACACGCCACTTTCATTTAGCAATTCTGCTTTTAAACAAACAAAGAAATAAACCTTTTATTTATTCTTCTTAGGAAAAGTGATTATTCTTCCTTTTGTGAGGTAAATAAAGATTTGCATAGGAATGAGGTGTAGCAAACCCTGTGAAAGGGGGAAAATGCTTGTGCCAGATGCAAAAAGGCATCTATAACCTCCTGGTACAATTCCAGGTACACCTCACAGGGTTGTTTGCATCCTCCAAGCCATAAGTGCCAGAGAGTGGAAGCTAGACTTTGTATACCATTAGCTTTGCTACTTCTTGTTTGTTGTTTGATTTTTTAAAAAGCCTCATTTCTTTACTGCGGTTGTGGCTGCCTAGGAAAAATAAGTGTGTATTTCTCATTTTTTGTATCGCCAGCAGACAGAAACTCAAACCCCACAGAGCTGCTGAAACCTCTGAGAGCAACAAGGAAAGTGTGTAGGGGGATTTCAGCTGGAACTTCTCAAAATCTCCCATGTATGAAAAGACTAGTGTCAAACAGTTTATGTTTCGATAATAAACGATCTCTGAACTTCTTCTTTCACTCACGAGATGCATAAAAATAACATATCCACCCCCAGCATTAACACAGCATTCAAATATTAGGTTGCAAAATTCAAAAGTAGTCAAAGAGAGTAGTCACAGAGGTTTCCAAAGAGGATGAGAAAAATTGCTTAGTGTCTTGCCAGAAACACGTGCACTCCATGCCTGCTTTTCTCCAGACTAAAAAGTTCTCTCTCTTCTCACATTGGACCCCAAGGCCTTATCCTGTAGGGCTGAGCTTCTTTCCAGCAAATGTCTGTAATAGATGTACTCTCAAAAGCTGCAAGTGCTTGCTTTTTCAGTAAAGTCCCACTGCACTGTTTGCTTGTGCGTGCCTGCTGTTGATGTTTGATACGCACACTTAAATTAACTGCTTCTTTTGCCTCTCATCAAAATATTTGTTTCCAGTGAAAAAGTCTTTGAAAGAAAGGTTGAGTGCAAGTACTTGCTTTAGTTGCTCTTGAAGAGAAGTAATGCAGATGTTCCAAAATTCAAGCTCTGTCAGCATTCCCCAATTTTTGAAAAAGAGAGTTTCTGATGAGGTACATCACTTTGATTATCTGTAATGGCTTCTGTAATTAGAGGGACACTGTCAGGTCATGATGTGCTTTTTAGGTTTAAAAACCCTTGACAGTGGTGTCATAGAGACTGATAAAAGATTATAGGCATTATAGTATGCCTTGTGGTGACATCAAGCCTTTTCCAACCGTATGGATGTTCACCAGCAACCCTGTGCCTCAGTTTCCTTGTCTAAGAAAGAGCAACGGCATTTCTCCACTGTGCTCAAGACTTCCAGGCAAAAGGTGCTGCCTACCATGAAGGCAGGTCTCTGAAGGTGGCCCAGCAACTACCCAGGGAATTTTGTGACCCAGCAAGTCTTGCCCATTCTCGAGTATCACATCCCTCGTTCTCCACCCCTGCTCCCTCAATACTCTTTCTGGATTTCATTCTAATACTCTTTGGCAGTGAAGGCTGACAAAACACTTCCAAAGTAAAGTGGGGGGGGAAGGGGAACAGACTGTTCAAAAGAGACCAGCCGAGCATGACTGAAACTATTCTGTTCCAAAATGGATTACGCAAAAGGGTAAGAAATTTCTGCTTCTTCCTGGGTTTGCTGTTTCCAACAGGCAAGTCTGAAATCCCTCCAGTCATACCTGTTTCTTTTTTCACAGTGTTGTATCCAGTTCTTACAGGGTTTCACTTCCCCTCACCAT